GTGGGCCCACTGCATTCAGCCTACTATTATTTTTATTTTATTTATTTTTAGTAGAGAAGGTTTCACCATATTGGCCCAGGACTGCCTCTCAAACTCCCGCTTGTGATTACACCTCGCTTCCAAGTGCTGGGATTACAGACGTGAGCCACTACGCCCAGTCTAATTTTTTTACTTTATTTATTATATTTTATTTATTTATCTTATTTTGTTTGAGACGTTTTGCTCTGTCGCCCCAGGCTGGAGTGCAGTTGGCATGAATCTTCGGCTCATGCAACTCCACCTCCCTGGTTGCAAGAGATTCTCGCTGCCTCATAATACCTCGCTCGAGTAGCTGGGGAAGTTACAGGCGCCCCACCCACACCTGCCCAATTTTTTTGTGTTTTTTTAGTAGAGCGGGTTTCACGCTGTTGCTGTTGACAGGAATGATGCTCGAACTCCCTGACCTCGGCGTGATCCGCCTGCCTCGGGCTCCCAAAGTGCTGGGATTACGGGCATGAGCCATTGCGCCCAGCCTAATTTTTAATATTTTTGTAAAAATGGGGTCTCATTATGTTGCCCAGGCTTTTTTTGAACTCCTGGACTCAAGCTATCCTCTTGCCTCGGCCTCCCACGGTGCTGAGATTGCAGGCATGAGCCACTGTGCCTGGCTGCACATGCCCTCTGCCTGCCTGTGTGCCTCCCACCCAGCCTTCAGCTGTCAGTTCAACCACACTTCCTTAGGGAAACCTTGATCACATTCCTTTGACTTATGCCTGTTGTTTGGAATCCCCTGGGGAATTTGTGAAAATACAGATTGCTGGGTCCCACCGTCGAGTTTCTGATTCAGTAGGCTTGGGGCAGGTCCAAGATTTGCCTTCCATTATGTTGGAGATAGGGTCTCACTATGTCGCCCAGATGCTGCTGCTGCTGCTGCTGCTGAGAGCAACGCCATGAGAACCACTGGCCCGCGTCCTCACACTGTCCCCCTTCATCAGTCTACAATGACACACTCATTCATGTAACCCTTGGGCTATATCTGTCTTTCCTCTAAACTATGAGGTCAGGGAAGCAAAGACCCCTGTGTTAGCTCTTGTCAAAATTCTAACTGGCATACAGAGGTGCTCAGTAAATAGTTGTTGGCTGGATGCCAACAACTGGGCTCACACCTGTGATCCCAGCACTTTGGGAGGCCAGGATGGGAGGATCACTTGAGCCTAGGGGTTTGAAACCAGCCTGGACAACATAGTGAGACTCCCATCTCTGCAAAACTACAAAAAAATGGCCAGGCACAGTGGCTCATGCCTGTAATCCCAGCACTTTGGGAGGCTGAGGTGAGCAGATCACCTGAGGTTAGGAGTTTGAGACCAGCCTGGCCAATAGAGTGAAACCCCGTCTCTACTGAAAATATAAAAATTAGCCAGGTATGGTGGTGTGTGCCTGTAGTCCTAGCCACTTGGGAGGCTGAGGCAGGAAAATTGCTTGAACCTGGGAACTGGAGGTTGCAGTAAGTCAAGATAGCACCACTGCACTCCAGCCTGGGTGATGGAGTGAGACTCCATCTCAAAAACAAAACAAAACAAAACAAAAAAACACCAAAAAAATTACCTGGGTATTGATGGCATGCGCCTGTGGTCTCAGCTCCTCAGGAGGCTGAGATGGGAGGATCGCTTGTGCCTGGGAGGTTGAGGCTGCAGTGAGCCATGATGACGTCACTGGACTCCAGCCTGGGCAACAGAGCAAGACACTGTCTCAAAAATAAGTTATTGAACAAATGAGTGAATGAATAAATAAAAGGAAGCAAGCTAGTCTTCCCCACTTCCCCTGTGGCAGGCTGGTGCTCCAGAATTTATGTAGTGCTCTCCTACTAGAAAGCGATTAGATTCCCTATCAGTTGATAATAAACATAATTTTTAACTTTAGGAAGCTGAGGTGGAACA